ATAAGGCCTGCGCAGTAAATCCCTTTGTTTTAAAACCAAATAACTATTTTTTTACAACTATTTAATTAAAATTTGCCTGATATTAATTCCATTTTTATTTCAGTCGACGTAAAAAAAAATACACTACTTTATGTCAGTCTAATAAGGCTAGAAACCCATAAAGACCATCAAAGATGATGCATTCAAGATGGGATAACTTACATTAAACGCTCGCATTTTTCCCCCCAGAGGGCAAGATGTAAAGTTCCTTATCATTAATAGTGCATTATGCTGAGCCCTCTTTTGTTTGAAAATATGCAGTATATACACTAGAGCTGAGCTATATTTTGCTTTGTATTTATAGATTTAAAACCCCTCAATTTCTTCATTTAAATTCAGAAAAAAGGCATTTCATAAATAACTCACGCAGCCCCTTTTGAGAGCAGCAGCAAATAGTAGGATTCAACTGAGCTGCATCAGATTATTGTTTGGAACTGCTGGGTTTAAAGAAAACGAATGCATATCTTAACCACCCCCCCCCCTCTCTCTCTCCATATTTTTCTCCCTCTTGACGCGCAAACTTTGTGAATAGGCTCCAACAACCTTTGGAACGGCGTGTTTGCTCGAGTTGCAGCAACAAGTTCTCGTGCATCCTTGGAAGTGCTCGCAGGGATAATCGAAGTCATCACGGCCCCTGCTAACTAGACAGTGTTCAGCTCAAACCGCCACATCAAATGAGAAATCTCACATCAAAAGAGGCCAAATAAGCGGCTCGCTGATTCACTCACGCAGCTGCATTGAGAGCAAGGCCAACAGGCGTATCAGACACTGAAAGGGAGCTGCTATTCAGGCTGCAGGTGTGAAGTATGTGGCACATTCTGCCATATAATGCAGAGGTTGTTAGAAATCCGTGTTCGGGCCTATGGGGCTGCTGGGGGGCTGATTCGCGTTGGAGGGAGTCTGCTCGTAAAATAACTTAGTTTCCTGAAATCTGTGGATGACGGTAATCCTAAAACCTGGGGAGATGATGGAGGAGTAGGAGGGAGGCAGAGGGAGAGGAGAAACTCTATAAGTCTCATTGGCATAGCGTTTTTCTTTCACCCCCCCCCCTTTTTTTTTCTTCTAGGTTTTGTGACTTATGTGATTTTTGCCTGCCATATGCCAAAGCTACCGCAGGGGTGTAGCCTTAAACCTGCCTTAATTCTGCTTCCTCGCCCTTTTTATATGCGGAATACAGTTAATTTGGCTTTAAAAGCCGTCATAAATCTTTATGACGGAAGCTCTTGGTAGCCAATATATCACAGCCGTGCGATCCGGCAAATCCCCCCTCGGAAAGCAACCTAGAATGGTATCGGAATAACATATTTAATATTAGTGACAAGCTTTATGGTTGTAGTTAACTGGGGAGGGTGAATAGTTTGCCTTTTGACCTCACTTGTGCACACTCGATTAAAGTTCAACGCAAAGCAGAGCTCGATGCTCCTTTAGATCGTGAATTGTTATCAGAACCTGCTTTAATACACACACATATATATATATATATATATACAAATGAGGTTATTGAATCAAAGATTATATGTATGTATATATATATATATAATATATAACCTCATTTATATATTGTATATATATATATTTGTATATATATACATATAATCTTTGATTCAATAACCTCATTTGTTCGAATATTGGCATTTGCTTCACTAATTAGCAGAATCTTTTTCCATGACGTCTGTCTTACAATAACAACTTTATCTGGGTCTGCTCCGTTGCACCTGTCTCTCTCTCTCTCTCTCTCTCTCTCTCTCTCTCTCTCCCTGGCTTTCTTTTTCATTTCCATGCCCACTTCGGCTGCCCCCTTCATTCCTGGTCATTATGGCCAGGTCGGTGTGGAGGTGCTGATGGCTGGATTTGGAGCGTGGGGTGGGCGTGGAGGAGCAGGGGGAGGGGGTGAGGGGCTTTTTACTCCAAGACTGCTAATCCCCCTGTTAAAGGAGCTTTGTTCAATAATGCCGGACAGTTTCCGGAAGTCGGATTACCGCCTCCATTATTTTACAAAGAAATGATATTTCACACCCAAATGAGCCTCAGAACGCTGCGTGGTTTTGACAGGCTCTGGCGCTAAATTAAATGAATTCATTTTCGTTTTCATTCTTTGTTTGATTCTTTCTTTTTCCGTTTTTTTTGTGCCGGTTTCAAGGGGCTATTCTTTTATTTTTGTGTAATTAATGCGAATATGCATTTACTGTGAAACTGCATTGTGATGGCAGGCTTCCTGTTTTCGACAGGCATTTGTGCACTGTTGCTAAAGTGAGGACCCTCACACTTCCCCCACGAGCGTGCTCGGACACACGCACACACCTGTTCTTGATTCTTGACCCTGGAGCCGGTATCAGACCAGAGGTTGTCACTCAGTTAGGAACCCCCAAAGAGGGAAACGCACCGGGGTCCACAGTTAAAGATGCTCTCTGATAGCCCGTAGCTGCTCGTCGGAAATCCCAGATTTACAGTAAAAAGTTAACAATCGTTCCGTTTTTCCCTGTGCCATGCAGGCCCGCAGCCTGGCAGGTTTCGCACCGTCTTCGGATCTCTTTGATTCCTCTGTAACCAAACCTGCAGCCCCTTCGATTTTTGACTTAAGAAGTGGATTTTATACTCGCCCATAAATCATTAGGCGTAAAGGTCACTAATCCTCAGCAGAGCAGATGTGCACAATCCTCTGGCACTGGTTAACATTTTCATTTTTCATTGTGGTTTCCAGTGACACCATTTTTCTTTCCGCAATAAAGATCAAACCAAATGGCTCTATACGGACCTCTTGTCTCACTTAGGCCTTTTTTGCCTGTTTTCCAGCCAAGCAACACGTTACATGTTCTACAACCTTTGTATGCACGCCGCTTGTTCGCGGGCGTGTTGAGGGCTGGAGGCAAAAGCTTTCAGAGGCCCAATAGAGAGGAGAGGTGCCCAGCAAATCGGTGACAAAAGGCTTTCCGTGTCATCAACGTCGTGCAGACGACCCAAAAGAATCCCTCTGATATTATCTCCCACTTCAAAGGCGTCCACTTCCAATTGAGATCTAACTATCTTCCACTTTATTTCTCTTTTTGTCTTCCCTCCTTTCTGTTTTCCACTTCTTCTGGACTTGGTGCCAAAAGAGGCACCATCCGTGCTTTTTTTTGTCTTTTTTTTTTGTCTTCTTTGACTCGGGCCTCCTGCACAGAGCAAACTGTCATGAACTTAACCAAACTCTATAAACGAACAGAGCTGTAGCTGCCTTGTTTCCCTCCCTCTTCTGGTCCGAGTCAAGGCCACAGTGGGTCCGGCCCCTGCACCAGAGGCTCCGGGCAGCGGGGATCCTCGTGCTTTGCGTGTTTTCGTTCCTCCTCACACTATTTTTTCATTTTAATTTATAGGCCGCTATTCAAACTATTCTAAGAATCCGTCCGTTGTCGTTCAAAGCTGAAACTATTCATTTGAAGTACGCTGTTACGGGTTAAAAGAAGCTCCCTTTTTTATTTTTTTTGCCTGTGTGTATATTGTGTATAGAAACTAAAATATGATTATGGTTGAATTTATCCATTGAGCAGCTCGGGCCTCTTGCAAAGCAAGTCTATTATAGTGTGGGACAACTGCGCTTTAGCGGCTTCTCCTTTGATTGTCGTAAAGTAGGCCCTGGGTAAAAGAATATATTTTTCTTCTTTATACTGCTCTAGTCTGAAGCATAAAGGACATAGATTACCGTTTCCTACCCCATGGGAAGCAAATATTACATTCTTTAGAGCGGGCTTTTGAGTCCTCGGACTTGGCCCCATATCATTTGAGTTTGACTTGGCTATTGCTATAGAAATCTTAATTCACCATGAGGATTCACCGTCGTGAAAAAAAATGTCTCTTTGTGCAGAATACTCTTTGAAGTCTGGGTTGGAATATTGTAGCTTTTCATCAAACTCTGCCCACGTCTGCAGCAAATCACAGCTCAGCTGAGTAAGTAAGATTTAACACCAGTGCAGCACCGTGCAGACCGCCCACCTCCACGGAAAAATACACACGAAATACACACAAAAAAACAACAAAAAAACAATCAATGTTTGTTACATTATGTTTCTATGGATTTTGAAGTTGTATCTGGATCTGGGGGGAGACCTTGTTCCAGGAGCTGCACCAAAAAGCAATTCAGTTATTCTGTTTTCTCACGGAAATGTACAAAGACATGATAGCAATAAATAAATAAATAAAAAACACAAAGGTAAATTAGTAGATAAATATAGCAAATTTTGCACATATTCACCTAAATACACCTCATAATTTCATTAATCCGAATTGCTGCAGTTTTCACGTTTGTCATACAAGATTTATTCAAAATACCCACAAATTACAAGGCAGTTCGGTACGTATTTTGAGTGCCGCTCGATTTCAGATAAAAGAAAACAACACACTGACAATAATGGTACAAAATCACAAAATGCCCACTTTGATAAAACATTTATAATTTTACGCTCGTGAGCTAAAGACTGCAGCTTTTTGCAGCGGCTGAATTGTTGCGCAGATGGGGAGACGAAACAAGGTTTGAACAGAAAACGTGTGCACAAAAAGCTGCAGTGTTCAGCCGGAGACTGCTCTGAGACAGATTCTTACAAAACTATTGACATCAACACATCGAAACTTACAAAAATTTACAAATGTACATTTTTGCTCGAATTGGAACATGCACTTTGGTTCATACTACAAAATCCTTCAATGTCAGATCGAAAAATAAATAAAAACATATTGAAGTCAAAACTCGAATTTACAAAAAAATCAGTTTATTTTAATACCAACATGCCTAGTCTACAATAATGTACCACGTTATCAAACAGGGTTTCACGACTTTCGCCACAAGTGGAGCAGTCCCTGCGCACTGGGCACCGAGACAGTGCGTAAAGTTCGAGAAAATATTCTGTTTTTATTTTCTATTTTCCTTTCTTACACTCTTTAAAGTTTGCACTTTCCCCCCGCAATATTGTTAAGTGCGTCACATGGCCGGGTGTGTGTGTGTGTGTGTGTTGGGTTGAGTTATCCAAAATTTGGAGAACAGAATAAAAGGATTAGGTGTTGTGGAGCAGCGGGGCCCTCACATCTTTAGGCACCAAAAAGCCGCTGCGCTCGCTCGTGCAGTCCAGCTCTTTAAAGCACGTGTTCTGGCACAGGAACCCGTCGGGTTAGAACGCGTCTCTGGGCTCCGGGTGTCTGTAAGGGGGCTCGGCTGTGTGGTCGGGTGTGGAGTGGCCGCTGGGTGGTGTTTGGGCGCCGCTGGCACCTGAGCTGTGGCACACGTACCACTCGCTCAGGTTGGCGGGCTGCGAGGCCCCCGCGGGCTCCGAAAGCACCGAGGGGCCGCCGGGCTCCCGGCCCAGGTCCGAGGAGGGGGACACCAGCGAGGGGGTGGACGACTCGTAGCCCGAGCTGGGCGGCGGGGACTTGCAGTGCACCTTCATGTGTTTCCTCAGGGAGCTGGGGTGCGTGTAGGACTTGTCGCAGCCCCTCACCTTGCAGTTGTAGGGCTTGTCGCTGGTGTGCACGTGGGAGTGCTTTTTCCGGTCGCTGCTGTTGGCGAAGCGTCTGTCGCAGCCGTCAAATTCACATTTGAAGGGTTTCTCACCTGTTAGCACCCGTGGAGACACGAAAGAATAAAAAATTAGTGGGCTCGAGCTTTAAAACGTGGCATTTCATCATCATCCTGGCGCACAGTGGTAGTTGATCTCTTGATAAATGCACATATGTCTGCACGTGTCAATGTCTCATTAACAATCAGTGGATTTGGGCTTAATTATGGGACAGATATGAGGTCACCCGAATTAGACTTCACGAGGAAATGAAGGTTGAAAAGTGTTTTTTGTACCAGCAATATTACATCCACTGTTAACGTATAGACATATTATTTTTTTAAATAGTCCAAATAAAACCGTTTTGGCAGTTATGTGTGTTCAGTGTTAACACACACACACACACACACCCCCGGACCCCCACCCCTTTCCCACACTGGCACTGTCAAAAGTTTGCCTTTTGGACAGACAGTGTCAATCTGGAGTAAACAGGAGGTCTGAACCCCCCACCGTCCTGCTTCCATACCTGGCGTCTGCATGCGTCAAAACACACACACACACACACACACACACACACACACACACACACACACACACACACACACACACACACAGACACAGACACAGGCTGCCAGCACACAGATTTCAGGGCCCAGACTCAACTTAAAGGAACGATCAACCAAAGCATTTCCGCAGCCAGCCCTCACCAATCCCCCAAATATGAACTGGATCTAATTTTTGTGTTTTAATAACAAGCATTTCTACCTGATTATATGACGAGGCAAAGGAAGGGAGACGGGATCGAGAGAGAGGGAGCGCGCGAGAGAAAGACAATCTGAATAAATTACACGGAAATCATCTACTGCTGATTTTTCTCCTCCGATTAAAGCTTTTGAGAATATGTAATTGCCTCTGTCTAATTACACTTGCGGGTTGAATATCAATTTGACCTTCAGCTGTTGGGTTGAGAGAGCCAATCAAGGATATTAGTGTAGTACAAGAAACCGTCGAGGAACAGACCCCAGGGGCAGCCCCAGCCATAACCACACTTTCGGTTAGGTTTTAAACATGATACCAAAGACCAGGCCCCTCGGGAGTCAACACACAGAAATAATTTAACAGATTTGTACTTAGGTAATGTGAGCAAATGATATGAATAATACATAGGGGGTGCAGAAATGGAGCACAGGGGGAGCGCCATGCAGCCACCGATAAAAAAAAAGAGAGGAATGCAGTCACAATATTAATTTACAAGCCTGACTCGACATTCTGAGGCCTTTTCCCCCTCTAAGCCCGCAGCACGTCAGAGGGTTCACAGAGTTTTGCAGCCATACGAAAGCAGCGTCTTTAACCATTAAATGTGCTTTGCGCCGGTCTGTGCACTGGAGGCTGCACAGCCTCACACACCAGCTAGCACGCAGGCAGCTAGCGTTTCTTACATGATAGTAAATCATTTTTGGACGTGTGTACCTGTCAACTTGTTGCTCTGGCTAAAGGCTATAAACACCTGATCACCACAAAAGCAGGACTCCGTCCTGTACAGGGCTCAGCCGGGAAGCATTAGGAGAAAATATGAGGTTTCACATAAATGCTAAATAAAACTGGTCTCTATCTAGTGTAGGCTTATGGAACATATTTATGCAAATCCAAAATTAAATTAATATTTTTTCCACGCTCGTAAAACAATATGACAAAAATCACAAAATATATCTGGGATTTTTTTTTTTTAATCGGTGGCTGCAAAACCAGAGCTAAAATCCAAATCCTATCCGTTACTTCACGTGAAGATTCCCCTCTAAATTAGCCGCCTAGTCATGTTTGGCCTGCACTGAGCTGCTTGGATGAGACATGACGTGGGCCTCAGTCTTTGTGCTGTGGTGTAAACAAGAGGGTGAACCGTCAAACGCTTGAGTGAGCTGTACCATAATCCCCAAACCCGAGCTTTGTAAAACTTGTGAGCACTGACAAAACTCCTGACAAACAGGTGGTCAATAGCTGTTGCGTCCAGAGCTATCAGGAGCACACACTGATTAACTACCACATGTCGTCAGGGAATATTTAAATTTCACATTAACAGGCAGGGGAAAAAAATACAAAAAACAAATTTACGTAAAACACACTTCAACCTGTGCATAGATAAATTTAAACGACGTTGTCTAACTATACATCGTCCGACTTCCTTAATATAATTTGAATATTGCAACGGATTTTTAAAGCGTTTCCTTGAAGAAATACATAGCCACTGACCTGTGTGCGTCCTTTTGTGGATCTTTAGATTCTCGGATCGGGCAAACACTTTCCCACAGCCAGGGAACGGGCATGGGAACGGTTTCTCCCCGGTGTGCACTCGAATGTGATTCACCAGTTTGTACTTTGCTTTGAACGGTTTGCCTTCCCTCGGGCACTCTTCCCAGAAGCATATGTGGTTCGCCTGCTCCGGTCCTCCGACGTGCTCCACCGTCACGTGCGTTACCAGTTCGTGCATGGTGCTGTAAGTTTTGGAGCAAAGTTTCTTCGGCGACAGCTCCGGCTCCAGCCACTTGCAGATGAGCTCTTGCTTTATGGGCTGCCTCATGTAGCGGAAAAAGGCGCCGGCTCCGTGGTGGTGGTGGTGGTGGTGGTGCGCGCTCAGATTCATGTTCAGATTTAGACCACCGTAGCCGTGCAAAGGCGACGCGGAGAACGGATCAGCCCTGGAGCTCGCCACTTGGCTCAAGTGATCGGACCTGACATACATTTCTCCGGGTAGTCCTAACCTTATTTGTCCATTCAGCGCCTGACCGCCCGGGGATCCGCTAGAAGGCTGCTCGTGGTGAAGTCCGGAGAAGAGGGTGGTATGGTTCCCGGCGTCCGGGTGGTGACCATAGTGTCCGGGATAGCTACCTGTTGTTGAGACAAACATTCCGTGGTGAGAGGCTGAACCAGCAGTCTGGTCAGTCAGTACCGGCATGGCTTGAGCTGTCAGATCTCTCCGGATGAGGAAATCCCTACCTGCGGATAGAGCCTGGGCCGTGTGAGACATAGAATAGGGCACCGACGTCGCCTGAACCGGGCCAAAAGCTCCCGTTTGACTGGAGACCACTTCACTGTGGCCTGCCATATGATGATTGTGGTGGTGGTGATGGTGGTGGGGATAATGATGGGCTGGGCTGATTTTGAGGGCCGCGGAGTGCCCCATGTGTTCTGGCCCGAATGGACTCGGCCCCAGGCGGGGTTCCGCAGTAATCTCCCCAGGGTGCGAGTGAGCCATTGAGTGTGGATGGCTGCTGAACCCCGGGAAGCCTGTCACGCTCTGAGGGGTATGGTGGTGATGATGGTGATGGTGGTGAGCCCCTGCCAAGTCAACTAATCTCAGCGCCGTGTTCCGTTTGGAAAACGTAGGGTCCATCACGGGGCTTCCCAATGCATCCACGCTCATTACTTCCTAATTTTGGAATAACTTGACAGCAGGCAAAATAATAATGATGATGACAAATATATTTTAATCGCAATGAAAAATAAAGAAAAAAAACTTTATAAAGTTAAGTCTATCTGCAGACAACATGGAATCCCATTCGCTTGAGAGGCAGCAGCAGGACGCTTTGATACTGAATAGAGATTCATGGTAGGCGCTGCAGCCCGTGGAGCTAAACAATCACCCTGCACTCTAATTGGTCAGCGCTCGGTGATTGACGTCACCAGTGACAGTTTCCACCGCGATGAAAAATGTCTTAGTGACAGCAAGCAGCTAGAGCGCATGCGCAGTGCCTGAGGCAACGCTTGAGAAAAATAGTTGTTATGCAAAGCTTATTGTGGAATAAGTCCTAAAAAGTTGATACAGATAAACAGTCGCCTTTCCTTTTGTGGCCGCGAACAAAGGCTGTGTGGCAATGAAACAGTAATTCCCCCACTTTGATTATGCGATTACAAACCAGACCGCCGCGTAACAGTATGCATATTGTCACTACAAAAGTTGTGCGGATCATAAATAATGCAATGATATCTTCATTTTGCACTGCAACGTGTGCAGGGCAAATTTACGCACAAATTACGCGCAACTTTACGCACGAAAAGATCGCCGAAGGAAAAAAAAAGTTGTGCAAAGGAAAACTTCCAGGGGGAGTTGAAAATTGTCCGGAGCACGTAACATTAATGTGTGCTTTGATATGTACCCATATTTACACATCGAGCTCTCCGGCGCTCACCGCACAGTTGACTTCGTGCTCTGCCCGGTCGGATCCCCGAGTGTCAGAAGTGAACAGAGCAAGCCGCGGCCATTGTCCCGAGGAGAAAAATGTAATGGACGGGACCTGTTGTCATGATCCGGGGTAATTTTGCTTTAGACCCAGGACGGCAGCAGATGAGGGTCAGAGGAGGTGGTGCCGCTGCAGACTTAAGTTCAAAATAAACCGAGTGGGGACTGTAAGTATCGGTTATACAATTTGATACTTCGGTGGATAAAACTGTCTCATTTGATAGTGTCTGCTTTACTTAAAAAAAAAAATCTAAACAGAGAAGTTAATCATACCCAAATATAATGATAAATGGTCAGACTGCAACTGTTGCTTTTGCTTACATGGACTTATCGATTTAGTCCGTTTTTACTCCTCAGTCGAGGCACAGCACCTTTTCGTGTTGAGCTCCAACATAAAGTAAAAGGTGGACGTTACTAAACCGTGTATCTTATAAAAATGCATGGATCGAATTAGCACGTCAGAAATGTAAATTATTTTTGTGGAGCTTGTTCACGGTGGAATTTGATTTAGTTCACGTCTTCACGTTGAGGCAGTGGCTGCTTCTATGTGTGTTTTCTCTTTGCAAGCACACCCGTGCTCACGGCTTGTTTGTATGGACTAAACTTTTTTCCAGTTGCACATTTAAGAAGGCATGCAGCGTAAATATTCTTAAAAAGTTAAAGTAAGTATGGATCTCATTGAGATTATTTAGAAAAATACTTTTACTGACTTCACATGTGATGTCGACTTTCAAATCAACAACACACATTAGATGTGTGGTTATTTCAACTTTAGTTTCGTTAAATCAGTAGAAAATATATTTTTAAAATGTGCTTCATAACTGAATGTGTCGTACCAAATAAAACGGTCAAATGGATTATTTTGCATTATTTTTAGCACGGAGACCAACATCATCACTCGGTAAATATTATGCAGTGCACAAAGTATGGGTGTAAACAAAATCGCTTTTGGTATTTTTGACGAATTGACTTGTCACCATCTTCGCTGACAGCGTCGTATACAGCACCTTAGAATCTGAGTCAATATTTGGAAATGAGACGGATCCCAAAGATGTTTATTAAAAGGCCCTTTACGCACGGCTCGCAGCTGTAGCATTCTCAGGCACCACAGCACCAGCGTAATGCAAAACTTTGCCCTGCTATTTCTGGTCCAAGTTGTGCACTCA